AGAGAGAGAGAGAGAGTATAATATCCTTTAAATGACAAATTGTCACTAACGGCAACTTCTCTAAACTGTATATTTTTGCGACAGTTAGACATTAAGGTAGTACCCCAAACATTGCAATAGCACCCTCTTTCGTCTATTTTTCAAATTCTCACTCAAATATCAAAATTCATGATAAAACCCTAGTCCATATTTTTCTTTTTATTTAAACTCTTAGTGATTTGATCGTGACACCAATAAATACATCAGTTCGTTAGTTCGAAAATATCACCTCGATGCTAAATTTTGTAGAAAACAATTTTTCGGATGCTCTGTATGTAATTATGCGTATAAAAAATTATATACTAGATGTGTAAATATATAAAATCTCGAAAGTTTTTTTTTTTTTTACAGTTGAAACCTTGTCATAACTATTGGTAAGCTAAGAAATGTCATATGAGCTACTTACTACTTACCTTCCTGTTTCCAGAAGCTTAAAACTTGATTAGTAAACAGAGGAAATAACATTATATTTCTCCATACAAATATCATAAGAACTTATATCCATGGAGGAGGTAACTAAAACATACTTCTGAATGCAGGTGTGGAGGAACTATGAGTGCAATGTCAGCCTCGTGAATGGGATTGAGATATGTAGAACTGTAGGCCGTGTCACCCCAACTCTGTATGATCAGATGAATGCTGCAGTGAGTGTGGGTTATGCTTTATACCACTATGCTCCTTTCCTTGTTCAGCTGGAGGACTGCACATTTGCCAGACAGACGTTTAGCTCCATAAACCAGAACAACTGTCCTAGTCTTAGAAAGTACACAAACTGGGTATTTGCTGGCCTCACGCTCGTCTCCGCTGCGGTGATGCTGTCCACCGTTTTCTGGGTCATCTATACTCGAGAGAGGCGGCATCGTATGTATAACAAGCAACAAATGTTTTATGAGGGACAAGGTCCGATGACGGAAAAGAACTGATGAGGATGTGAAAAAGTCTGGTGATGTTTGTGCATTACTGTAGAGAAGAGTTGTTTCTTGTGTTCTGTTGTTTCTTTGGATATTTTAAAGGTCTTATTAAAATTCTTTCTTGTTTCTAGGAAGCATTTCTTTATGATTGCATCATGGCTTGGATGAGATTTATCTATGTGAGTCTCATTTTCAAATTCTAATGTATTTTGCAAGTTGCAACATTACCTTGAAATTTTAAGGATTAGTTGTGTTTTGTTTTTTTTATTTGTTTTCATTAAAAATAAAATGTATTTGAATATATGAATATTTATTGATTGATTGATTTATTTATTTTCTTAACACTCCTCAGGTGTGAGCAGTGGACGGTTGCGTTAGTTAGTTGACGGTTAGTGTAAAATTTATCGAAAAATTATGACATGAATTTTTTAAATTTTTAAATAATTTTTTACTGTCACATTTGTAAAAAAGAAGTTGAGGAGGTGTTGGATCTCGAATTGTCTTTTACGAACACGCCTTGAGAGTTAAGAGTCGAGCAAATGAGAGAACAAATTGAATCGAGTTAATGTGGGGGAATCGGGGGAGTCCAAATGGCCTACCCCTTTGGTCGTCCTTTTTTCTCTTATTTATAAGAATGCATTTAGTAAAAGTACATAAAAGATGAAACAATTATGCAAAACATTGTTAATATGATTAATGTTTTAATAAATTGTATGAATTTTATTCCAGCTGTATTACAATTTGGATTTTGATAAGGTGGTAATTGGTTGGCCGATTCTCTAGAATGCGGTCGAGTGAGGTGATTGATTGGGTGGCGATCATGCCTTGTGTTTGATTGACTGAGGCATTCAGTTGAACGACAATCTCGTCAGCCGCGACAAGAGTTGGTCTTACACCCAATCACAATTAGGAGGTTTCTGCCAGCACTTTTGTTTGACAATTAGTCGTTTGATGAGTCGATTTGTGTTTGTCGGGTGAACTGTGACTCATTTGTTACTTTGACTAAAGTCTTATGAGACCTATGTCTTGTCTACCTGGTCAGTTCGTCGCCTCAGCCGAATACCCCTATTTGCAAGATCCTAGGCCGATCTTGTCACTTCCTGTGTGAGGTATCCGATGAGACTTGTTGTTATGATGAATTATGCCTTACCTTGGCGGTTTCTGTCGCAATTGGGCGAGGGACCATCTTCAGAGCTTTAACCTGTCCCGCATTTAGAGACGACTTCACCTGCATGGCGGCGACTTGTCGGTTGATTTTTAACCCTTTGGGGAAGCTTTTTATTTTTGGTCGTTCATTCTCTTTGAGATTTGTGCCTGTAGTTCTAGTGTATACATATTAGTTCCTCGAATTTTCCTGCACTTTGGTGGCGATAGTTGGATAAAAATAGGGAAATTATTATTTTAATCTTGTCATAGAAATCAAGAAAACTTAATGATTAGTTGTTCCTTCATTTTTGTCCCTATGTGTTAGAAATAAGGCCAGAAGTTGGGTTCATCTTTTGCCAACATTTTTCGAGTTGCTGAATAGGCCTCTTGTTAGGTGGCACAAGCAAAAAGACGGTTGACATGAACCTACTGGTCTTGGCGGGTTATCTACCTGCTTCAACATTTATACCAAAAAAAAAGGTGGCAGGAAAGAAAAAAAGCGAGAGACGGTCGGCCTCGAGTCGGTCGACTAGGTTGCTTCTTCTAAGGGGTTCGAAAGAAGGTCGCCAAAGAGGCTTTAGAAACCTGTCTGTTCTGGCCCGAGCGAGGTCAGGACTATGGTTTATCCGTTGCCCTTGTCCAGGGAAAAGCTGTATATGATCACTGTAGCCCGAGGCCAGAGGTGGTGGTTGTCCCTTTGCCGCTGCCGTCAAGGGAAAAGAAAGGAGGCACCACAACGGGAGAGGAAGGTCATCCCTTGATTGAATCAGAGTTGGAGAGCTCATGGGTATGTAAGAAATTTCTTTTTTGACTTTTTTAGCATAGTAACTTTAACCTTCCTTTTAAACGCAGTTGTGTCGATCAGAGCGGAGGATGTCGAGCACAACTGGCCGCCAAGTGATGTGTTTGACTTGATTCCTGTCGTTGTCGCTGAGTCCCTTGATTTGGTCATCCCCTCTTTCCTATCTACCAACGCGTACGGAAGCTCACAGCAGGATTGGCCTATGTACCAGAGACCCCCTGGGTTTGTAGCATGTCGAGTGCAGAAGATGGTATAGGCTCTATACCAGACAACGAAAAACCCTGTGGACTTGTCTTGCAGGGATGGATGGCTCGTTGTGAAAGTCTAGAGGTCGCCTTTCAACAGCAGTCAGCTACCATCGCTCAGCCGGGGGGAGAGGCTGCATCGCCGCTAGGTTCTTTGAACAACATCCAAGTTAAGATGAGTTTCATCTGCGGTTCAGTAGTTCTAAGTCAATTCCATAATGAGGTCCGACCAGATGGAGCACATTAAGCTTGATGGAGAGTCGGTCTTCCATAGGTTGCTTAAGAAGGTGTATACCTCGTCTGAAGCCACGGAGGACACATTTAGTAAACATTTTGTCTCAAAACCTACAATAATGATATTTGTAATAAGGTAATATTTAGAGGAATTTGAAATGACAATTAGTGCCATGCTTTTCTTTATGCGACTTTTCGGTTTACACAGTCGTCTTATAAATAGGTTTAGGGTTCTCCCTATTCCACTTTTGTACTTTGTTCTTTGAGCCTTCTGATTTCTTTTCCTCCATTTTCATCCGTTCTTTTGGTTCGACTGCAATGGCTCCAAAGTATTCTCTGCTTCTCTTTGGCATCGTGATGGACACCAATCCTTCTTCTTTGAAGAACCAGGACATGAAGAGTCTTCATGAGCATTACGTGTTGGGTGACCATATCACCATCTGCAGCATGTTCGTAACAGAGCACCCGGCGAATGATGTGGGCCCTGATCCAGTGTTCTACCAGGATCAATTTAAGTTCGGTCTTTGGTTGCCCTTATGGTTCGAGCTCAGGAGTGTCTTCACTCAAGATGGGGTCATTCCGACCCAAGTTCTTCCACTCCACCACGACTATCACGACTTTCGTTGACGTCTTTTCAGCATCCCTTGGTTGATTGACACCTTCATTCACTACTTTTCATTCAAGGTTGACTAGAGAGGGTTTGCCATGTTTTCGCCTGGGTGAAAACTTTGCTTGCTCAACATTTAGAATAAATTCAAGGACTAGCTTAAAAAGTACTTGGTCAATTCTACATCTTGCAACTGGGAGATTGCCACTCGCCTGTAGGAGTGGCTCGGCGCGCAGCAAGCCGGGGACCTTACCAGGCGATCTGCAAGATGTCCAAGAGGTGTTGAAAGGGGGTCTGATGTCGGTCCTAAAAAAAGAAGAAAGAAAAGAAGAAAATGTATATTCGAAATGAACTGAAGGAAAATAAAGTAAGAAAAAAGGCATGAAGAAGAAGCTTGAGGTTAAGCATGACCATATAAAAACATGGTTTTTTAGCTTCTTCCCTATGTTGAACGGTTATACTTTTATTAAGATTTTAGAAACGTTATAAGTTCGTGTAGAATTAAGGGAAAACCTATTGTTGTAACAAAAATTTAGTGTTTAATTATCCTTGAAGAAGTAAGGGAATTTTAGTCTCACCAATCTAAGTAATAAAGAGTGATTATATTTAGCATGAGGCAAATCATGAAGGGTATAAGGTTATATTATCCAAGAAAATCTTTACTTAGATATGGAAACCTTAATAAATATTTTATTTATCACTATTAAAAGACTAAGATTTTCATAAAATAAAGGCAACCTATTTTTGGAAATATGAGCTAAGTCATAAGGAGTACTTGAAGGCAAGTAATGAGTATGTTTGAGGGGATTGACATGTGTCAATTTTACATGTTTTTTATGCTCTAATTCATGCAAATTATTCTTTTTATATCATGATTTTATGCTTTTGGAAAGTTGGATATGTTTTTTGCAGGTTCTAGGAGGATTAACATGTAAATCAGAGCAAAATGACAAAATTGGGGAATTTTCCAGCCTAGCATTACCACACCTACTTTTGGCGTGCCCATGCCAGCTGTGTAGTTAGGTCACACCATAGAACCAACGTGGCCACACTAGTTCAAAAGTGATACGGATCGCCTTGAGGAGCGGCCTCGCCGCCCTTCAGGCGTAGCCATGTCGATGTATCTTGTTGCTTATGGAAACAAATTTTTGAGTTCATGTTGTTCGATCGGGACAAAATTTAAATGAGTCATATAAAAGAACATTAGGGCTCAATTTCGAGGGGAGTTTGGAGAATTTTCAGACAATGGAGGCTAAGGTTAGAGAGAGCTTGAGAGTTTCCTGTTGTTCTTCTTCTCGGGAGAACAAACAAGTAGATTTCTTCATGTCTATTTTTTTTTTAAATTTTCATAGCTATCTTGAGATGTTGTATGAGAGAATTTTTTTTTTGCTACATTTTGCAAGAGAGAAGTTTCACAAATCATTGAGTCATGCTTTTATTTAATAAAAATGTTGCTTTCAGCTTTGTTTTCCATAAATTCACATGTGGTTTTTCTTCCAAATATGAGTAACTAAACTTCTTTTTCATGCCTCTGTGATTTGTGGATAAATTTTTTTATTTTAATATTTTTCTTTAACCCTTTGACATTCGTTTACTTGGAACCTGGCCAGTTAAGACGTTAAAACTTATCGTGATTTATGACTTATGCCCGTTGCGTAGTGGAACGATTGAGTTAACCATAAAATTCTATTAGAATAGACATTTTAATTTAGGCTTTGCAACAGGGAAAAGGGAGTTGAGAAATACTGGTAAACACCTTAAGTTTAAGAAAATCTTAACGTTGTGGTGTTCCAAATCATCTTCTAACCTAGGCTTAGGCTTAGAAGAAAAATCATCCCTAGTTGACAACAATCACATAGGAGAAACGAATAGAAAAATATAATCAAGTATTGCATTTGAATCATAAAGGCACAATCCTCAACCATCTTGAAGAAACCTAAGAAGTTTAACTCATGCTTTCCTTCACTTCCCTTTTCTACTAGCTTTGCTAAATTTAAAATTTTCCTCTTCAATTTTTTTGATTACACTAAACTTGGTGAGATAGCTAGTAAACTATAGATTTATTGATTCTAAATTTTTCTTAACTCATTTTCCCTTAGGAACGATACGCGGTACTCTTGCAAACCACT